AGACACGATTCTCATTGAACGCCTCATTCAATCTATTACATAACTTGTCAAGTTAAGGACCATAACTTGTTTAGTTGCGAAAATAACCTGTCAAGCAATATACCATAATTTAATCATTTATAGAAATGTCAATTAATGGACTTTAATCTGTCAAGTGTTACAAAATATCTTGTCAAGTTATAGCTATAACCTAGTCATCTAAAAATCAAAAAATAAAATTATTTTTCTTTCTTTTAAGTATTCTGAAAACTGTGAACATGCACAAACTGTTTGACGAAATGCTGGTGGGGACCTAAAAATAGGTTTTTCGTTATGGCGATTTTACTCAATTCTGTTGACCTTTCCAATGTAGTTACACGCTCAAAGCTTCTTTTCCTTCTCTATTTTCTCCTGTCAACTTTATAACATCTGCATCCGTTTTTTTTTTTTTCCTTTTTGATGAAGAAGTTTTTATTTGAAACATCGCTAAAAGCCAGCAAAAACAACACGACCAGAAACAACACAAATTGAACAAGACTCAATCAATGCTGAAACAAGAAAGACAACACCAGAAAGAATTACATCTGAAACAATTAATTAAGCAATCCTAAATGATTTTAAAAGGTACTACTAGCAAATACACCATTAATTATGAGTAAAACTAATATGTCTAAATTGTAAAACTTAGGGCCGTTTAATTTACTGATTCGAGTTTTTATTTTAAGTTGAAATTTGACTTTATGTGAGAGCTCTTTACTGTAATAAAAAATGTTAGATATGAGTGTTTCTGAGAGCTTTTTACTGTAGTAAAACTCAAATTTTATACTCGAATCGGTAAAGTGAACGGGCCTTAATTTTCTCAAAATTTCCAAAGGTCATCGTCGGAGCTACTTGCTGCCATCAATGGTCGTCGCCCGAGCTCCATCTGGTCGACAGTTGTCTTCCTGAATCTATCTAAGCTCTGTCGTCCCTCTTACGGAGAACGTTGTTGCTCGCGAATGGAGCTCCACAATGCTTGCAAACAGAGATCCACAGAGCCTTCAACGACGCGACGACCGTCTCGCCATGGTCATAGGCAATCGTCCGATCTGCTATTTGAATGCTGGCAAGAGTGGACAGAAACGAGGAGAGAGTCTCTCCTCCTCCCGAGACTAATGTTGCAGTTCCTGGCGTGGCTCACGGTTGTCTTCTCTCTCTCTCTCTTGGATCTCCTCCCGACGGCGCGCTCTCCCTCTCCTCCGGTTCTCTCGTCTCTTTCTATCATATCTCCTGTCGACGTAGCTCCGATTGTCATCGTTTTCTGTCTCTCTCTCTTTCCGACCTGTGATGATTCTCGCCGTTCAAGATCCAGATGCTCTCTCGCCGTGAAAGACCGCCGGTGTCATGGTTCTCATTGTTCGGAGGTTTAGAGAAGGTTTGCGCCTGGATATTCTCATCATCTGGATATCCTTGATATGTGTGTTGGTGAAGAAAGATGGATCTTCTCATCATTTTTTATGGTTCAATGTAAATCTAAGCAAATAAATCCACGATTTACTGGCGGTGATTTTGAGGAGAGAGAGAGGGAGGAGAGAGAACGAGAATAAGTCTCAGTTTCTTTTGGGAGAAGAAGGAAAAAGTGTGAGGTGTAGTTTCGTAATTTTACTTAGGTGTAAATCTGCATCTACACTTAAATTGTCTATTTAACACTGTCTAAATCTTACCTATTAATTTTAATTCTTATTTTAATCTGGCCTATTCCCCTCCTTCTCCCATTTTTTAAACTCATTTTTATGTTTTTCCTTTTTCCATCATTTGTAAAATTTCCTCTCCGGAAATATTTTGGGTTTTGAATTGATAATAAATAAAACAAAACTTACAAGGTCTCTAATTAATCAGCAAAAATGTGATAAACAATAGATGAAACTCTATTTGAAGCGATGCTCGTAGATATCATGCATGCCATTTAATGGATCTCAAAGCAAATAACATCTTCACGCAGCATATAGTAATGGTTTTCTGATTTTTTATTAATGATAACAGCGGATAATGTTTTTGAAGCGATGCTCGTAGATATCATGCATGCCATTTAATGGATCTCAAAGCAAATAACATCTTCACGCAGCATATAGTAATGGTTTTCTGATTTTTTATTAATGATAACAGCGGATAATGTTTAAAAAAGGCAAAAAAAAAAAAAAAAAAAAAAAAAAAAAAAAAAAAAAAAAAAAAAATTAATTTCTAGTGTAAAAAAA